GTTGTTTCTATTCCATACAATAAGCTCAGGAAGCAAAAATAAAAATCTGTCTACATAGTATGAGGTCAGTCAGGCTACGGGTGGTTATTTTACATCTGAATATTAAAAACATATACTTCTCTGTAGAGGATTTTAGAAAACTTGAACCTGCTGGCGCTCAGCGTTTCTCAAGGAATGCTGAACACGTTCAAATCCCAGCAAGCAGAGGACCTGAGCCATCTCAGAAGGGGGTCAAAGCGTGCAGGACTGTAACTCTATATGATGAAAACATATATTGTTTAGACAAGATGATGAACATTTTTTAAAATTTAAAATTTAATCATTTCTTATTTACAAACTAATCCTAACAATGAGGTAATATATCCACAGCCCCATTGGGTTTAGGTTCATAACTCAAACATATTCCCTGCACAACGCTAATTAGTTTGTATTAGAGCAAAAATGTTCTTAATAAACAGAAATGCGAAACGACTTCAGGGTTCCTTTCTGATTATGCAATAGCCATGTAAAACAATCTTTAGGAGAAGCGTTTTACTGTACGTATACCTACTGGGCTGTAAGAGATGGGCTTGTGGTTGAACATTGCCCTAGGAGAGACGAATCACATCCCTGCTGCACTATCATTTCCGATGTTACTGTCAACGAGTCTCTGCATCATCAAGAACACTTTCACTCACTGTCTCTGATTTTACAAGAATACTTCTCTGTGTGTGTACAGAGCAACAGCTACAACAGGGCTCCGGTCTTGGGTGGAGTCTCTAAATTGCATTTTGATGGGAGCGTTGTCAGGTTAACAAAAATCATACACCAGGCTTCGACCGTCAAACTGGCACCAAAGGAAAGGCTGAGCTGCGTTCACCTCGGAGGCTTGCGTGCCACCCACGATGACCAGAGGTGACACAGCAACCTTGCTTTGCAAAGCTAATAAAATAAAAATACACAATGCTTCAATTTTTGGTTGGTTTTAGAAATTTGATTTTGACAAGAAATTAAAAATGTTACATAACCATGTAATTAAAGCATCATTATGACAGATCGTTTACTTAAAAGGAGCCATTTTGGTTAAGAGCATCCCAGATATTCACTCTGTATACAGCATTCTCTTGACCAGTAAAAGGACGTAAACAGTGGTCTGGTTTTGCAGCTTATCTATTTATGAACATATTTATGCTCTGACATAAATTTTAAAGGAGTCGGAAGCAAAAGAATCCCTCCTCGATGGTGTACACCAAATGGAGAGCAACATGGTACAAATGCCAAACACTACAAATTTTGCAAGCTACCAATATTTACCATCTGTCACAGAGTACTATATTCTCATGCAAGCATGCCGCAATGAGAAAACATCATCTCTATAAGGGCAAAATAAACAGCATTCAGAATTTCTGAAAGCATTCTTCCAGAATTATTGCATTAGATTAGATTGCCTCATCAACAGGGCTAGAGGCCATTTACACTATTTTCTTTTTTTTTTTTTTTTTTTTTAAATGTAACAGATGAAAGGATTACAGAAAGTTTTCTGGGGCCAAATTTGGAATTAATGATGGGAAAATTCTTTTGCTAATCCCCCATCTCTCCCACTGCTAGCAGACTCCTGAGGCTGGAAAAAACCAATGTCTGCTGGTACCCTGCTTCTACTTTGCTCATCAGTGCAAAATACTACGCTCGGGAGGTTTGAAAAGGACCCTCGGCTTTGAGCAGAGCCATAAAATCGCAAGGACAGAGCTATACTGAAAATCTGAGTAAAGAACGACATGAGACTCCAATTAAAACTTGGACGCATCGCAACCAAATCAAAGGATGGGACTCATCTGCTCAGGGCAGACGTCTGCCAAGCAGCCACCTCCATCCGGGCCCAGGCTCGCTTTGCCATTAGTGGGGAAAAACGGGCTTTTCCAGGACACGCGGTGCCTGCCCCGAGGTGGACGGAGGCAGGCTGGAGGGATCGCTCCTGAGCAATCCCTGCTGGCTGCGGAGGAAGCTCGGAGAGATCGGCCGAAGGACGGGGGCTGCAGGGACGCGGAGGCAAGCGACTGCCCGAGGGGAAGGACCGGAGAAGGACCGACTCTTCTGCAGAGCACAGCAGCCACCGCAGCCGGGCCCGTCTGCAGGATGCCCTCTTGCAAACCTCGAACATTACTCCTCGGCACTGCCTGTCAGCCCACCAGTGAAGTAAAAATAGATACCGCCAAGTAACTACCCTTCTAAAAGCGAAGTTTAATCATTTTTCAGTCATTTAACAAACACAAAAGAATTTACACGTACCAACTCTACTCGAGAAGTAAACTTTGCATAATTAATCGGGATGCCTCCGATACTTGTGCATCTGCAAACGCACAGCTACACCAACTGGCACCCAAGGGAAAATGCCTCGGGCCACCTCAAAGAGCTGGGAAGTGCAAATATCTCAACTGAACACAGCCTGAGCTGCTAGGGAAGGAAAAAAGCAGGCCTGAAGAACAAGCTGTCTGGAAAATAAGTACAGTTACCCAGCTCCCTAAAGTCCGTTTCATTAACTATCAGATATTATCAGCTACTTCTGAATTAAGCCATGTTTTCTCATAACGCCAGAAGCAGCTAAAGGCACCTAATTAGTTGCAGAAGGTGGGAACGTCCAAAGCAGGTCAGGGAAGTGGAAGTCAAGCTTCCCGCAGAAACGGGCAATTTGATGGAAAATTTGACTTGAATAAAAAGACACATTGATGCGGCACTTAATGAAGATGAAGTTCGCCTGCCGCCCCACGATACAGACGATGCCATTATCACTCAGCACTAGGAAGGAAAGAGATTCCCAGTAAGGGGAAATTACAAGGCAGTTATCCTCATCAACCTGACTGTGGAGCAGTGACACGAGATTGGCAGCGTGCCTGAGAAGTCTGGAGATAGTTAACCACAGGGCATAAAATAAGATGCGTAAAGGGAAAGTAGCCCCTGGAAAATATTGCTAGGGATTTCAGCTTTTCCAGTGTGCCAGTGGCAACGAAACACCCGACCATACACCCCTGTATCCACAAAAACAAACAAAAAATCGCCCTATATCTGGAAAACAAAAAAAAAAAAGGATTGCATAAAGTCAGAGAAAACATGGGAGTTCCACTTGCTCGGTAGTGACGAAGCCAAGTGCTGAGCGATCTGGTCTCCCGTCTGTGAGAGTCGGACTATTTCCCACCTTTTTCAGACTGCTTAAAGATCTACAAACGACTGGCTCTACATGGCTGGCAGGTTTTATTCTCGTGATTCTAGGGCAGTGAGAAGCAGAAGCAACTCGGCGTTTTCTCTTCCCCCAGGATCTGGCCCGCAGTCAGCAACAGGCAATCCTCGCCACTTTTTACTCCGAGTGCTCGGGAAAGTTTCCATCTTTTGAGAAAAAGTTGCCTGTAGCTCAAAAAAGAGCTCACAAGAAAACATTAAGAATTTTGCTCTACGCTTTGTAACTATCCGTAAGACAAGCAAGTCAAACAAAACTGGCATTATTTTGCGTTATTTGTAAAAAGGAGGGTTAAATGCATTCCCAATTTCACAGATGTTTCAAGGCTTCGTTGCTAGAAAAAGTCTGGCATGGTCACGCAGAAATGCAATGGTACAATACACATTACGTTCAGGGTCCCAAAAACATAAGGATTTGGGGAACCTTCCCCTACCCCCAACAGAGGGAAATGGGACACAGATCATATATTTTCCTGATGAGAAACCAAAGTTTCACAGAGAATTAGTAAACATGCTCATGCTTCCCACCTGTTTTCTATTTAGAGCAAAAAAGCAATTAATATGACTTTTTAAACAACGGTTAATAGAAGAAACTTAGGAAACTGAGATTTCTAACTGAAAATGTCTTTACTCACACGAGGCAGAGGATCAAAATATGACAAGACCACTAAGCATAGTTTCTCCCAGCTGCGCAAACCATTTCTTAACAATCTTAAGATTAATAAACAAAGACATATTCTAGACATTTCACATCCCTCCTGGATTTAGCCACGTCTGCAAGGCAAAAATGAGAAAGCCGTCCTCTTGCTTCACTCTCAGCTGGACCGGAGCTCCCAAGTAGTACTTCACGTTACGTGAGTGTTAATACGGGAACCCCCTCGCTCTGAGCAGGCATGCAGAGGAACACAAGGGGAAAAAACCCACAGGTCCAGGAAGAAGCCGATTTAAGCATATCATTTATTAGCAAGTAAAAGGACATTTACCTTCTCAGTGGTTAAGCACAACACAACCCAAGGATAAACCATATGGCTCAAGTCTTTGTGCAAGGGAGAAAGCTGGCAGGGTTCCGCGGCTCTAATTGAACTATTACCATATTGTAAGAAATGAAAAAGTCAGAAGGGCTGGAGGATCTGCTCTCCTAGGGACAGTTTATGTCATGCGAACAATTAAGTGAGTAACAAAGCATATTTAACAGGAAAGCAATTCCACCGTTTGGATAGTGGCTCATTTTAAAGAAAAGAGGTACTCTTCTAGTTCAATATTGCACTTAATTTGATCCTACATTCAATGCCATGAAACCTTCAAAATCCAAATCATTTGTAGCAAACAATGCAACGCTTCTCCTTTAGTCGCTGGCTCAAGACGTTTCCATTTAGTTAAAAAGGAACAACACAGAATAAGAATGCTCAAGTGAAACCCAGCAACACGTAACAGCTTCCCATAAAAACCGCCATAAACTGAAAAATGCAAAAGATCGAGTACAAAATTAATTTTGTACTACGTACAAATAATCACCAATCTTTTCTTTCAAAAGGCAGGCTTGATAAAAATATACCGAGTGTTATACATTGTACACGCACAACAGGGAAGGTAGTGAAACACAATAAAACAACCAGGTCATGAACAGAGAGAATCTGTAGTGATTGTTCGTACATAAACCCTTAGAGTATTGTCTTGTTACTTGGTGGGCAAAAAGCAGTGCAGTTGCATGAGGAGTGAAAAAAAAAAAAAAAAAAAATCACAACCTTACATAAAAATGAGGCAAAATGAGCCTCTATGAGTCTTGTTCTTACCATTCTGTTCATCCAGCTCGTTCCCAATTTCCTGCCCCATTTGCTTTTGCCGGGATATGATTGAAGAAAGAGCATCAAGTCCAGCATCTTGCTCTGCACCAGAAAGATATATAATAATACATGAAAAAATTTGCTGATGTGCCAGGCTATGTACCGTAAAAGATGCAGAAGCGAAGAAACAGATCTACTCTGTGCTTAAAGAGTTAAAATGTATTGAGAAAAATACATCAACACGACATGAAAATGAGTCCTTATGTCAACAGCACTCAAAATAATGTGAATGATGGGTAATTAATTTGTCTGCTCCGGCTGGGACATTCAGCTGAGGGTCCCCTCCCCCCCGCCCCCCCAAAAATCCAAGAATTCAACATTCAGGTGTTACTCAATCATAAATGCAGGAGATTTTCTGGCACACGCATAGAGATCCCTGATTAGCCTTTTTAAATTTTCCAAGAAACTTTTAACATGAATAAAAGACAAACAGGTGATGCAAACAGCAAAGAATTCAAATAGATTTTTAAAGCTGCAAGAGGATACAGAGCGCATGGAAGAGAGCCTGAGTCAGAGCGGGGACAGCTGAAGTTTGACGTGTTCCCATCAGCTCTGCAGACCCTCCTTTATTAAGATCCGTATCACCTCTGCTATTCCAGCTTGCAGGTACCACGCAGTCCTTAGTAAGCACCTTACCCAAAACGTGCAGCTCTCCTTGCCCCAAGTCGTCAAGAAGTAGAACAAGAAGATGCTGGAGGCTGGACTGTCAGTGGTCTGACAAACTGCAAGGCAGCGATGGTGCGCAGAGCAAGACTGCCAGCCGGCTGCGGTCTGGGAGCCAGAAATTACACAGGATGGGCAGAACGCCCTTCCCTTCAACAGGGTGAAGGTCTGGCCCCCAATACCTCTTTCAGCCTCCCCGAGGGATACCTGTGGTGTCATCAAAAACTGGAGCTTGAGGTCTCTCCTGGACCATCCAAACAGTTCCTGCCGTTCTCCTGCACTGTAGCTCTAAATGCTGTTTCACATGCGGACTGAAGCGGGCCTTATCGGGAGACTGATTTCATTTGATCACTTCCAATGCCTTAATTGCACAGAAACTACCTCATTAACCACCTGATGTCCTCAGGCTGAGGTTCTCCAACACTTCCAAAGTTAGAGACTCTTTATGGATGCCGAGGGCCAACATCTACAGACGCTTTTTAGATTAGTTAATTCTTAGCTCCTTCCAATTCAACAACACATCCAACACACCCCAGCCTGAAGCACGGCAGTAATACCACTACGCTCAGTGCAAATAATGAGATCTCCACTGCAAACCAAAACCACGAATACAGTCAAAATCAGGGATGCCCTGTAAGGTCTTTGAGAATTTGATTTAAGAAGATGCCGCCAGTTAAGAATATTGCAAGCACAATACTGCTCCTGCAAATACATAAAACAACCACCTGGAACTATTATGTTTGACCTCTCCAAATAATAAAACTTCAGCACAGGTTATTGTATTGACTTTCTAACAAGGGCTCCTCTCAGAATCCTGGCGATGCTTATAAACACCAGAAAGACTCTTGTACCTTCTATGATCCTTCGCTGCTGCTGCCTGAGATCGTCAAAGCCAAGCCCTCGGGTTTCCTCAGATTCTTCCATGAGCCACGGGTTGGTTACGCCTCGTTTGACCCCTCCCGTCATTAGGCTGGATCTGAAAATAACTTCAGTAAATAATTTTCAACACAAAACCCACTCATCGTGTCATTTGTGCTTGCAAGACCGGCTGACAGCGACAGAAGCGTATGTGTTTGTTGCACTCCATGCGATTCTCTGCAATCACAGAAGAAATCAGCCAAAAAGAATCCAACGATCTCCAATAGCAAATACATCTCGCAGGCTCCATACCACTGCCTAGAAGTGGTAAAGCAGGGAGAGAATGAATTTTGCAGTGAACTATTAGGCTACATGGTGAAATGTGTATCATACATTGTATAATATATTCATATTAAATATTGTTTGCAAGTAGAACACACAGCATTCAATGCTGCTACAAAAACAACAGGGTTACTGGGAATACACGTTATTCATGTATTTGCTATGCGATCAAAATGCAAAAACACTGAAGTACAGTCTGGAAGCTTCCAACAGTAAAAGGATCAACACATGAATACAGATGCAAATCAGATGAGACTACTCATTTTCTGCAACCTTGATCAAACCTACAAGGGAACATTTCTGCTTTTCAAAAACTGTAGATGGAAGTCACGCCGTTACTCTCGTGCATGTCCTCGCCTGGCATCAACACGAACGAGAGGCCAGGCACACACGCTCTTAAACGAAAGAGTAATCACGTTATGGGTTTTCTTTTAAAAGAATTACGACGTGAGGTTGTTCACGTTATAGACACTTCCCCACTTACAACGGAAAACAAGTTTTTCATGTCCAGGGCCCATAAATTCGAGCAGTAAAGTGAAATGCCACTTAAATATTTTTCTCAATACCAGATTTCTGGTTTCTGCCTTTCAGCTTTTCGTTGGTTTCTCCTACAAGAAAGCCATTATATGACAGACTGTGAGCCACTGGAACCCACAACTGCAACTCAGATTTGGGGTAGGAGTCATCACAAGACGGGTTCCTCAAGAGCACTACAGAAGTAAGAGGTTTCGCTTTTGGCTTTGCTTTTTGTAAACTCTGTATTTTATTCTCATTTTACCTTTGCCCTGTTCTTTCCCAAAGCACTTCCACAAACAAAACAAGAACAGAGAGTATTTTTAGGATCTCTCAAATTCTCAAAAATTTTTAATTACACTAAGACCTAAATTTTTTAAATTTTTTTCTTTTTTTTAATTGAGCCCAGGTCCCTTCTCTGTGCGATCTACTGCAACGCTGTACGGTACACACATCTGCTCAAAATCATTCTGTGCTCAAAACCCTGTATCAAAAGAAGTTAATTCTGCACAAGCATCAGTGGAGCTAGGAGGAGTTAACGCACCCTGCCGATACGGGGCTCAGCTCCCCGGAGGGAGGACTGAAGTCTTACAGCCAGGGTATCCAAGCAAAATCCAGAACTTGTGTCTAGGAGTTCCTGGAGGAATTGTGGGGAACTAGAGACATCTCCTGGCCGTGAGATGAATCAACGCTGCTGAGAAATAATTCATCTCCCCCACGTGAGGTTTGGGCCATCCATAAATTACAGGCACATACACCCTCGTCCGTGTGCAGCCCACTTCGCACTTCATATCGCATTCACAGCCAGTCAAATTGGAGAACGCTTAACTTCTTCCCATGTAAAATTTTAACATATTCTTTCAACTTCCTCTCAAGGTAATGGATTTGTCAGAACCAAACCAAAGAATTCTTTTGCTACAGGACTAAAAAGCGCCTATTGTAAATCACATCATCTCCCTTAACCACCCTGCCGACGCTGGAACACCACTCCAGAGCAGAACGACCAGCCGCCGACCAGCTGGGGCAACCTCCAGGGCAACCTCCAGGGCAACCTCCAGGGCAACCTCCAGGGCAACCTCCAGGGCAACCTCGGAAAGAGAGGGGCTGGGATTCTTCTGTATTCCCGTCCTTTGCACCTCCATTAAAACTTACATGTATTTATCGAGGCAGGGAATCAGGCTTGATGAGACAAAGACGCACGCACCTGAAATACAGTTTTACACATTACCGACTTCCGTCATTGCTTTGGGCAATTAAACACACTCTTGTATTTTCTAGCCTCACAGCCACTTTACCACTTTCACAAACCTAACCACAATGGAAGCGCCAGGCTTCTGAAGATGCACAGATCATTACAGTTCACCCCGTTCAGCAGTTCAATTAGCAAGCACACAAAACCTAGGGTTAACGATATTCTGACAAAATTGCTTAAATAAAGCAAACGGGACATAAGGCGCTCTGCTTGCTGAAAAGAGCACAACTATTTCTGCCTGTTAAAATAAAAAAGCCAAGGCAAGCAAATTTGAAATAATTTGCACCGCTCGCTCTCTCCCTCCCCCCTAATAATCTGCCCTATTCTGTAGGTTGGGTCATGACAACTGGCCTGCTCGTTACAATAATCTTTTTGACATGTTTGGTAACTACCTTCCCACACAACACCACATAACTTCCTACTTCCTCTGATCTTACCATGTTTCGCTTTGGTGGTGTGAAGATTAAAGCTTATCCAATTAGCCACCCACTGCCTCCGCCAAGTTAATCACGTAAATCTTTGAAACCGTCACAGAGCAGTGGAGTGTGCGGATAGCTTTTGATTATAGGAGCAGATTTAACTAATTACGAGGCTTAGCAATGCACCCAAGTATAAAAGATGATGGGGTTTAAAATCAGGGAGCTATGTCACTGCTTAACAAGGGAGGGCTTATCTTCCAGAAGGCATTGTTTCACTGATAATTCTTATAAAACTTCCCAAGTAACTTAGATTAGTCAACCAGCACTTACTTTAGACCAAGGCCACACATCACGGCTTACGGCTTTAGAAGACTGATCAGCAAGACTGAATTTTAAACAAAACCTGGGTCATATGACAATTGGTTGGATGATCACTTGAACATTCCCTTAACGATACAGTTGTACGGTGGGGCTCTTTGAAGTGCCCAGAGCACCTCAGCTTGGCTTCGCAGGTCAATCGCCAAGGCAGTGGCGAAGAAGCGGGGGTATTCTCTCACTTACAATCTAATTGCTCCCACCGGCAGGCTGTGTGTTTTAGGAAGCCCCAAGCTAGTAAATAAAACAAGTATAATTTTAACATACAAAACAAAAGCTCTCTCCCCCTCCAAAAAAACCCAGGGGAAGCTACATGAGCACAAGCACTTCCAAATCCCTGCCAGGTACCTTCCCAGGCAGAGACTTCCCCACAAGAACCGCTCCGGACGGGAAGCCTACAGAAGGGGCAGGATTCCCCGCAGCTGGCAGAGGACCCACCGGCTCCACCAGCACAAGAACCAAGAGCAGCCTATCTCATCTTCAAGGAAATGCCGTGTTGCTTTTGACACCACTTCCCTGCAGTTCGGTTAACTGGTCCCACTGGTTTCCACGACTGGAAGCCGCACCAGCCAGCTGCCGCATGGGATGCCGGACGGTCGATTTGCAGAACGCGGCTATTTTGCGGCACCACCAGGATCACTAACTCCTGCCCGCGATGTAGGCACGGCAGCTTCGCACCGCGGAACAAGCGGCTCCCAGCCACCTCGCACTCGTACGGTACAGCAGGTGCCCACGGAGCAACAGCACAAAGCAAGCAACAAGCTGGAAGGGTGTTGCACAGTTGTACGGGCTCACTCATCTTGGAATAACACACCCGCTCCAAACGCCGAGTGTCTGGATGGTGGTGCTGTGGCAAGAAACTACGCAGAGGAGATACCCCTACACCAGGGTAAGCGTCCCCAGGGAAGCTACCCTTATAACAACATTTACACTCACATTTTATGTCACAGCAGTCTCACTTTCCTCTATGAACCCTCAAAATATACACCCCGATAAACATTTCCATCAGAGATTAATCTTGCTGTCAAATATTATCGTCTTCTTTCTACAGCATCCCTTACTTTCTATGCAAGATTGGACATAGCACAATAGTAAATATATTATAAACCATCTTATACCGTCCTCATCGAAACAGTCTTGCCTCTACAGCTCACTTGCACTCCTCAGGAATGAGAGAATTCTTTCTAGAAAGGAGAATTCTTTCTGCATCTTGTATAATTACACCCAGGGAAAAGGTGAAGGGAGAAATCTACTCCTGTGAGACTATTTGTCCTGTTCACAAAACGCTCAACAACTCCATCACCTGCAACCCGCGTCTCTGCGCCCGCGGCGATGGACCCCCCTCGGTGCCGTTCAGAGGGCTGCTGTCGCGACAAGACGCAGCTCCAAGCTCGCGCCTGAACCTTCGCTCCCCGCGCGGTGGCTGAGGTCTGCCTGGCCACGAGCAACAGGAACGCGAGCCTCCAGGCAGGTCTCAGCTTGGCATTTGCTCTCCCTACAGCCCCAGCACGCCCGTGCCAGAAGCAGCCAGGGACGCTGCTGGTACAGAAACAACCTTGGGCAGGAAACTTCTGGTAGTTTTGAGCAAACTTAGAAGGCAAAACATAAAGCATGGAGCTCAGCCTTGAAAGCTGCCCTCCTACTGGCATTTTTTCCTGAGGCTAATGAGCGATAAGCTTTAATAACAGGCATGCAGGCACAACCTGAAGCACGATGCCTAAAATTACAGGGTTTGACTTACTTTTCTCAGTTGTGTTTAAATATCTGTTCTTTGTTATTCCTTATAAATACAAGTATATGCAGTTTTCTCATAACCACAGTCCTGACTTCAGCGAGGTCCTCAAGGAACCTCTGGCATGCTCTGAAGGAAGGGACATGCAAACTGTCCCTTGAACACAGACTAAACCAAGGAGACTTCACTATTGTACTGGAATCGTCCTTAAATTTGGGGTGGGCACAAGAACTCCCTGTTTTTACCAGGCGCTGTACCTGCTGCTTGCCTGAGGACACACTCACGGCTGCACACGCGGTAACCTACAGAGTGCTTCCAGGCGACGAGCGGTACGACGGGAGGTGACCCGGGTACAGAGCCACGGCTTAGTGGACGAGGAGGGTGTTGAGACAATGACAACCACGTTGGGTCGTGACTACATGGCCAAAGACACATTAATCCTGGAAAATCCTGCCCCAGCCCCTGGATTTGGTCTTATGACTCAA